GGGAGGCGGAGGGGCGGCCGGGGCGGTGCGCGACGGGGCGCGGCGCGGCGGGAGGGCCGCCGGAGGCCGGCGGCGGCCGGATCTGGGGAGGGGAGCTGAAAACTCCCTCCCGCGCGAAACTGACGAGAGAACCGGGTCGGGGAGGGGTTGGGCTGCCAACCCCTGTTTCTACAGGCTGGGAAGGAGAATAGGGGTTGAGCCTCTAAAAAAATTTAAGGGTTTAAGGGTTAAGGGGTTCTATTCTTTGCGATTTTTTCGTCTCAACCCGTAAAAAAGCGGTTATTTTTGAGGGTTTGAGGGTTTAGGGGTACTACTAGTAATGCTCTTAGGGCAATGCATGAAGACTTCCGAGCTGTTATTGATAAGGTTAAGCCAGCCCCAATAAAGGAGCGGCGGTAGCGGCATGGCGGTAGTGGCCGTTCTGCGGCAACCACCGAGCAAACCCTGCCCAATATGTCCGTCTCCGAAAACTATTGTGTTGAAACTGCAGTAGTCTAAACTAACAAGAACCACTCTCAAATCATATGCTTCACTGATCCAATCCTCAAAATAGCTATCCATATCGACATACTCAAAGTAAACGAGCCCACCAAGTTAAGTGACAATCCAAATAGGTTTGAGCTTTCAATCATCGGCTTAAGCATTGTCTAGTCAGATATAGCAAATCTAGATAAAATCACCTCTCCTTTTTCTTCCTCTCTTGTCACATGTTGAGCTGTTCTTTGTGTGCTCTTTGCTAGTGCAGCCAGCCAGCCACCACCATACAAGGGTGAAGTGGCTAGGGTTTTCTTCTTCCTCCTTCACCAGGAAGCAATCCGCCCGCTGGATGCAACTGAGATCAACGACTCACATTGTGATAGACTTATGGGCTGGAGTTAGGTTGCCAACACATCACGTGGAGAGACTTGTCCCAACAAAAATACAAGCAAAGGTGTTGGAGGTGGGTTGCTTGTCGCATGTTGTGATGCCTCCCCAAGCAAGAAAATAATCCACCAGCAATTGGGGCATGCCGACTGCCAGCAATCCCCTTGTGGCCTTGACATTAGCCGCTTCAAGGACTACTTTCTCTCTAAAGCCTATGGGTGTCGGGGATTATGAAACCGTCATAAGGCCTTGTTTGAAACAATGGGATTTTAGGGCCTAAGGCCTTGTTCAGTTAAACCTCTCTTGAAGAGGATTGGAGGGGATTGAGGGGGATTTTGACCTGTAGGGGATTTATTTTGTGGGATTTAATCTACTTCAATCCCCTTCCTTCCAACTGAACAAGCCCTAAGGGGGTCCCCTCACATCTCCGATCGCCTCAGTTCCCCTTCATTTCCCAGCCCCCCTCATCCCCAAGACCCATATCTACAAATATGCTATTTTGTAGGCACGGGTGGCTACATTTAAAAACTAGTAGCCTTGTACTCCCTCCGTCCCAAAAATTTTGTCTTAAATTTGTCTAAATATGGATGTATCAAGTCACGTTTTAGTATTAGGTACATCCGTATCTAGACAAATCTAAGACAAGAATTTTGGGACGAAGAGAGTATTAAGTAATAGGTATCCAATTCATATAATAAGCTGATGCAAATATCTGACACTGCATTAATAGAATCTAATTATCACGTCCACATGGTGCAGATATTTGATCAACATTAACACTAATGTAGTACACTAGCTTTGATCGTATGTCGTGTCCCACAATGACGCGACAGGGATCATCACAAAAAAAAAGACTCAAGTCCATTTAAAATTGAATTGAAGTCATCTATGCAACATCCAAGCATTGAGTCAAACAATGTAAACTTTGATTCACACCTTTTCATGATTTTTAAAGCATGAACAACACACATACTATTCACCACTAAAAATCCACACATCTTCTTTTTTTGTGTAGCTCACATGCTAACCTATTTCACCATCAAACTTTGCACACATGTAGAATTAAATTTAGCATTTCTTGGAACTTCAAAATGTAATTTCTGACCTATCATACCATAATGTGTTTCATACTATGCTTCTTCAAGACAAATATAAGTACCATGCCTTTCCTTTTTACATAAACCACCACGACGAATTTCATACTATGCTTCTTGAAGACGAAGAAGATGAAATTCGCTGTACCCCACCACTAATTGTGTGTTTGGCAACTAGTGGTGAGAATTTGAGGGAATCTTTTATCCCGTGTGAATTAACGGGGGACATGGAAAGATACGTGAGAATTGACCTTATTAATTCTCCCCTTTCCTCCTTAACTCATTTGCCATAGAACAAAACAATGTTTCATACCCCTTAAACTCACATCCATTATCACTAATTTCTCCAAACCAAACATGTGACTTTCTACAAACAACATGTGGACACCCCTTTTATTTTTACACATGTTTATAAAAATGATCCAAATATATTGTAAAGGTTTACAAGAAATACAAAGCACTACAAACAGAATAAAAAATACATTGAGGTCCCTGGACCACCAAACAACCGCAACCATCGCCAGAACAAACTGTTGACGCGCTGGTGTCATCGCTCACATATTGGAGATGGCCTGACCCTGTCAATGAAAGCTAGGTAGTATTCATGCATGTTCTTCTAAGGACCAGCTCCCGGAGTTGCAGCCGACGTCGTTGAACTCTTGAATCGATCTAAAGAACCCGACACCAAATCTTGTCATCGCGAACGCGACGAGAAACCTTAACCTTGTCGTCATGAGGAGTCGACATGAATCTACGCCAGCTCCATCGAATCCATCCTGAGGGACAAACTCGAGGAGGATCGGAGCGTGAAAGGCCGACTCAATGATGAAGCTCTACCCCTGCAAGGAGTAAAATCCTAACCTATCTACTAGCCCGAGCGAGGCACTAGGATTTTCCTTCTCACCATCACCCACCGAAGCAGCATGCACAAGGGGAGGCAAATCCACGAGCCTGTTGACAGAGATGAAGGGGAGAAAGGCCTTGCCCTAGTCGCCTTGCGAGCTGGGAAAGAAAACTTTAAAGTTTTTTTTTCTTTATATGGTTTAACGGATTCTCTTACGCGTAGTGTCTGATTTTGAAGCATGTTTGGCTTGTAGAAAAAATTGGCTGGCCAATGTTTTGGCAAGGTAACATTTGGCAATGCACAAGTTTTCTAAAATTTGGCAACTTTATAGAAATTGAGAACAATTTAGTAGGCCTTTTTTTAGAGAGAGCAAGCGAATAATTTTTTTTGAGAAACAAGAAGCAATTTAGTAGGCAACCAGTTGATAATATTATTTTTTTGAAATGCGATTGACTTTTTTTTTGAGAAGATAAAATGCGATTGATAATATTTATCCTGCCCACAGGCGATGTCTACCTCTCACATGGACTTGATGGGCTTGCAATGTTCAACACATAAAATACCCGCCTTGCTGGACCGGGCCAGCGATGGGCTGTCCAACAACGCCCATAACCCCTCGAAGGTTCTAGCAGTCTCCAGCCTGCCACATCTCCACCGTCCGACACCCAACCAACGTCCGGATACGCCGCCACGGCCTTTATATCTGCTTTTCTAGATGCTACTGGAAGAAGCATCCAAAACAAAAACAAATCTGCCGTGCTCCACCTTCTGCTCCCCCTCCGGCTACGGCGGCGCTGATCTCCGGTAAGCCGCCGCCTCCTCCCGTAATATTCTAGATCTATACATGCATGTGTAGGGTCGAACGGATTGGGTTGCCCGTGCCCGCGCACTCGTTCTTTTTTCTCTCGGTTCGAACGGATCGGATTGATTGACGATGCTTTCGTGTGTCTTCTCTGTCGATTCTTATCAGGTCGGGAGATAGGTTCTTCCCCCCTCGCGAATCGAAGAGATAAATAAAAGTTATGGATTAGTCTTTACCTTCGTTTAGTTCCGTTTTCTTTCGATCTGATCCGGAATTTAAGTGCCTGCTGATTTTGAAGGTTCCACCGGAATTGGGATGAGTTGCTTGCAGTATCTACTCATGACAAGTTCTTGTTCCCCCTCCTTTGAGTGTTTATCCGTTAATCTTGGCTGCAATCTCGTGTGTGTGATTTGTGATTCGTGTGATGGGAGTGCAGAGATCTCTAGCTTTTCTGCGGGGGCGCGAATCCGGGGGGCGGCGCCATGGCCGAGCACCTCGCGTCGATCTTCGGCACGGAGAAGGACCGCGTGAACTGCCCGTTCTACTTCAAGATCGGCGCGTGCCGGCACGGCGACCGCTGCTCCCGCCTGCACAACAAGCCGTCCGTCTCGCCCACGCTGCTGCTCTGCAACATGTACCAGCGCCCCGACATGATCACCCCGGGCGTGGACGCGCAGGGCAACCCCATCGACCCCGTCAAGATCCAGGGCGACTTCGAGGACTTCTACGAGGACATCTTCGACGAGCTCAGCAAGCACGGCGAGGTCGAGAACCTGCACGTCTGCGACAACCTCGCCGACCACCTCATCGGCAACGTCTACGTGCAGTTCAGGGAGGAGGACCAGGCCGCCAAGGCGCTCCAGGCGCTGCAGGGGAGGTTCTACTCGGGCCGCCCCATCATTGCTGAGTTCTCGCCCGTCACCGACTTCCGGGAGGCCACCTGCCGGCAGTTCGAGGAGCACAACTGCAACCGTGGAGGGTACTGCAACTTCATGCATGTCAAGGAGATTGGCAGGGACCTCAGGAAGAGGCTGTATGGGCACCTGCATAGGTCCAGGAGGAGCCACAGCAGGAGCAGCCGGAGCCCGAGCCCCTACCGTCACCACGCCAGGGACCGTGATCGCTCCTCGCGGTCTAGGGACCGTGGCGACTACTATGGAGGCAGCCTGGACCGTGGTGACTACGGCGACTACTACCACCATAGCCGGAGGAGCAGCGAGAGGAACCGCAACTATGACAGCGATGGGAGCAGGCTGCGCCGGCGACACAGGTCTAGGACTAGGAGCCCGGTCAGGGAGGGCAGCGAGGAGAGGAGGGCGAAGATCGAGCAGTGGAACCGTGAAAGGGAGGCGCCTGACAGGCAGGGCAGCGAGTAGAGGAGGGCGAAGATCGAGCAGTGGAACCGTGAGAGGGAGACGGCGCAGGCGTGAGATCTCCGGTCTTACTGCAGGTTGCAGTGTTGCCTTGTTCACCGGATGTTCTGCTTGCTTGTCTGATCTTGTAATGGTAGATGGAGTTAGATTGTGGTCCTAGTGAACTTACTCGGATGCCTGATGTAACATCTTTAGTGTGGTTCTTGTTGAACTTCCTCTTTAGATTTGTTGATGGTATAGTGTGTTCAATCTTCGCCCTCGGATGCCTGATTGTATTTGGTGTTGAACTTGTTATTGTTATGATTATATAGTGTGTTCCCTGAATGTTCCTTTGCTCACATTCCATGTTTCAGTCTAAATGCATTGGGGATTGCATTTTTGTACCACTTGACATCAACTTATATTCCATCAGATTTCCTGCCAGTTTAAAAGGCAGAGGCAGAGTTTAGCACTCATGGTGCAGTTAGAAATCTAATCTAGCTTGTGTTGTTGATTTTTATCCTCGCCAAAATCAGACCGTCGCAGATAATTTCCCCGTTTCAGGTTCAGGTAGATGTGGAAAACTTTTTCTCATGTACGCATTGCTATGTGAAAACAAGTTCAGCATTCGGCGGATTGCTTTGCTCACGAAGCTTGTTCGAGTGCAAGTGCAATGGGAACTGAATTTTGCATCACTCGAGATCACCAACTCAGGTTTCTTGTACGAATCTTGATCTTTTTACTACGGAGCCCAGCTTCTTAGACAAGTTCACAGGAACTTCTACACTGGTCAATTTAGTTGCTTGAGATCAAAAGACCTGAAGGTTCGTCATGTCACATGTGTAAGCAATGGTCAATTCAGTCATACGTGACCAGCTCAACTCCAGTGTTCTGTTGTGCAGTTCAGCACAAAGTCATTTCAATGGTCATCCAAAATCATTTGTTCGTGACGACGTAATAATGCTAGCTCCAAAGGGGAGACGTTCTTCTTTTCTTTTCAGAAAAAGAAGTATACGAAAGAGGAAGTCCATAGAGGAGAGCTGCCGGTCTCACTGGGCTGGCGGCCTGGCGCGCGCATGAACCCATCGTAGAGGCTTTTCAAAGTCGCTACAGCTTGCAGCATCTATATAAGGCAGCGCCATAGGGTCCTAATCTATCGCTTACAACAAGCTCGTCTGGCAATTCACAAACCTGAAACCCACTTCCTACGCAAACCAGTTTGCTCCAATGGCGTCCCAGCTGGTCGAGAGCCACCGCGCCGGGGCCGAGGTCATCAAGGGGGGCGAAGTCTGCAAGAAGAAGTCCGTCGAGCTCCTTGAAGAGCTCGGCCTCCCGAAAGGCCTCTTTCCAATGGGCGACATCGAGGAGATCGGGTACAACCCGCTCGCGGGTTCGTGTGGATGCTTCAGAAGAAGAAGAGTGAGCACACCTTCAAGAAGATCGAGCAAACCGTCTCCTACGACACCGAGGTGACCGCTTTTGTGTAGAAGGGCAAGATCAAGAAGGTCACCGGGGTGAAGATCGAGGACGTGTCTTTGGTCGAGGTCTATGTGGATGAGTCTTCTGCTGATAAGGTCACCGTCAAGACCGACACCGGTCTGTCTGACACCCATGATGCAGCCGCGTTCGCTCTCGGAGAATAGGGAGCTAAATAGAAATGTCACAAAATAATAAAGTCAGTGAATGGTTCGACACTATGGTTCGCATGTTATGCAAAAGTATCTTTCCGTTTTCTTGTAAGCTCAAGGCTGCTGCGTGAATGTTGTTCCCTTTCGGCCTGTAAGCTTTCGACAGTGAAATGAATAATTGCAATTATAGTTTTATACCCCCTCCTCTATCCCACATCGATGACTCTCAACTTCCATCTCAGAGAATGGTTCAGAATCCTCAGATCGATGTGAAAAAAAAAGTTTTTCTTAAGCACATATTTGTATGTGAAAACAAATTCTTCTCTCGAATGCTATTTTGTAGCATTAGAAGAACACCGAGAAAAAGGCAAAGGAAAAAAATGGGACAAAAGCAGAAACCAAAGCAAGCCTGAACTAATCAAAATCTAAGAACTAGCAAAGAGAATGACACAACCAACACAGAGCAAAGTTCATACTGCTATGGTTGAGGCTGCATGATCCATGGATTAATTTCTCTTTCTGAGTTCAGGTTGACGTGAAAACAAGTTGCTTTAATGTTCCATCATTATATCTTTAAGGCTTGGCTTCAGACAACATAAAACGGAAAGAACTCATCATGCCACAACCCTCCACTCAGTTGAGAATGGAAAGGGTTAGAAATTAGTTAGTTTGAGGCTAAGTTTGTGACTGTTGAACTGCTAAATTATTTGACAATTCGATGTGGAAAATAGCTATAAAAAGGCTAAGTTTGTGATTGCTAATCAATGGAATATATTTTATTAATTTAGAGAGGAAAAAAAGCTGTAAAATATGCAAAAGTAAGTTATTGCAAGTAGTTAAATAGGCAAAAATAATTCGGTGAATGGAAGGTTTTTGGTCACCAGGAACCCTAATATTTGGAACATGATCATAAGCACATTAATTCACTGCATATTTTGAACTCTAGTACTAAATGTTGCACATTAAACATGAAACGACATAACTTAAAACACTACTACGATCATATTTTTTATCGCTCCTCACGGTCTAGGGACCATGGCGATTAGCCGATTACTATGGAGGCAGCTTGGACCACGGCGGCTATGGTGACTACTACCACCATAGCCGGAGGAGCAGGGAGGGCAGCGAGGAGAGGAGGGCGAAGATTGAGCGGTGGAACCGTGAAAGGGAGACGGCGCAGGCGTGAGATCTCCGGTCTGACTGCAGGTTGCCTTGTTCACTGGATGTTCTGCTTGCTTGTCTGATCTTGTAATGATAGATGGAGTTATATTGTGGTCCTAGCAAACTTACTCGGATGCCTGATGTAACATCTTCAGTGTGGTTCTTGTTGCACTTCCTCTTTGGATGTGTTGACGGAACATATTTGGTTTTGAATTTGTTATTGTTATGATGATTATAGTGTTCTCTGAATGTTCCTTTGTCGGCATTCGGTGCAATGCTTTGCTCACATACCTTGAGGATTGCTTTTTTGTATCACTCGACATCAACTTATGTTCCATCTGAATTCCTGCGAGTTAAATGGAACAGAGGTTAGCACTCGAGGCTAAGTTGCAGATGGAAAACTTTGGCAGATGGTGCATATAGACATCTAATCTAGCTTGTCAGCTTGCGGCATTGTGACTTGGTACGGACCCCAGCTTCTTAATTACTATACAAGATCACTGGGACTTCTACTCTCTGGTCAATATAGTCGCTCGAGATCAAAAGACTTGAAGATTCTTCTTGTGTAAGCAATGGCCAATTTAGTCATCCTTGACCAGTGTTCTGCTGTGGAGTTCAGCATAAGGCATTTCAATGGTCAGATATGGCTGGACGTAATGAGCTAACTTCAGAGGGGGGACGTTCATCTTTTTCCTTCAAAACAAGAAGTATCTAAGAGAAGTCCACATAGGAGAGCTGCCGGTCTCAATGGGTTGGCGCCGGCGCAGCCGCGCATGAATCCATCCTAGAGGCCTTTAGGAGCCGTTACAGTTTGCACCATCTATATAAGGCAGCACCATCAGATCCTGATCTATCAAGTACCACAAGCTCATCTACCAATTCACAAACCTAGAAAACCACTCCAAAGCAAACAAGTACCAGCTAAGAAGGAGCTCAAATGGCGTCCCAGCTGGTTGAGAGCCACCGTGCCGGCGCCGAGGTCCACAAGGGGAACGATATCTGCAAGAAGAAGACCGTCGAGCTTCTCGAAGTGCTTGGCCTCCCGAAAGGCCTCTTTCCTATGGATGACATCGAGGAGGTCGGGCACAACTGTGAGAGTGGGTTCGTGTGGATACTTCAAAAGAAGAAGAAAGAGCACATGTTCAACAAGCTCAACCAGACCGTCTCCTACGACACTGAGGTGACCGCTTTTGTGGAAAAGGGCAAGATGAAGAAGGTCACCGGGGTCAAGGTCGAAGAGTTTTCTTTGGTCGAGGTCTATGTAGATGAGTCTTCTGCTGATAAGGTCACCATCAAGACCGACACCGGTCTGTCTGACACCCATGATGCGGCCGTGTTCGCTCTCGGAGAATAGAGCTACTAGTTAAAAAGGCCATAATAATAAAGTCAGTGAATGGTTCGGCACTGCAGTTCACATGTTATGCAGAAGTATATGTTTCCGTTTTCTTTGTAATCTAATAAAGGCTGTTGCATGAATGTTGCTTCCTTTCAGCCCATGTTATGCAGAAATTTATGTTTCTGTTTTCTTTGTAATGTAGTAAAGGATGTTGCATGAATGTTGCTTCCTTTCAGCCTGTAAGCGTACACCAAATGTAATGAATAACACTTATACCGCCTCCTATATCCCACATCGACCACTCTCAACTTCCCACTGTGGTCCCTATCTTTGTGTGAGAGAGAATAAGGGCCTTATCAACAAATAATTAAGCAAGGCTTTGAAATACAACATGAACCGTGACATGCATAGAACAAATCTAATTTTGATTCTCGATATCTGGATTTTCATGTTGATTTTAACATTTCATAATTTTAGATGTATGTTATAGCAGTGTCTAAAAAAATATCAACAGCAAGGCTCAAATGGAAACACTGTGGAACAGTTTCCTGTTTTGTTTATTTTAATTTTCTCGCTAATATCAAATAATCGGAGTTTATTTCCACATTTATGGTTCAAATCGATGTGAAAAACTATCATTTTAGACACATATTTTTATGCGAAAACAAGTTCTTGTCTTGATTTTTTTCTTGTGTTGACAGATTGTTGAGAAAATGCAAAGGAACAAAAGAGAACAAAAGCAGAAACCAGAGCAAGCCAAAACTAGCCAAAATTTAGGAACTAGTAAAAGAGAATGGCAAAGCCAACACAGAGCAAAACTCCTACGGCTACGGTTGAGGATTAAATTATTTTCCAATTCTAAGTTGAGATTGATGTGAAAACAAGTTGCTCAAGATATTTTTAATGTTCCACCATTACATCTCTAAAGATTTGGTTACAGACAACATAAAACGGAAAGCACTCATCATGCCACAATCCTCTACTCAGTTGAGAACGGGAAGGATTAGAAATTAGTAGTTAGTTTGAGGCTAAGTTTGTGACTGTTGAAATGCTAAATTATCTTACAATTTGATGTGGAAAATACCTATAAAAAGGCTAAGTTTGTGATTGCTAAACTATGGATTTTTTTTTCAATTTAGTGAGGAAAAACAGCCATGAAATATGCAAAAGTAAGCTATTCCAAACATTTTAATAGGCAAAAATAATTCTGTGAATGGAACTACCAAAATCTAGGACGATGCCAAGCTACTCTATTCTTTAATAGCATTTTTTTAACGAGGCAGAAGACTTGTTATTGTCATTAATTAAGAAGAGAGTGAGAAATGCCCGCTTGACTAACGAGAAACCAGGTTAGAATCGATACAACCTAACCCACATAACATGAGCACCAGCGACCCGATCTGGCCACTCACAATTAGAAGACCACGGAGGATGGTTACAACAGAATATTGGAGGTACATGGCCACGTGACTTTAACACTAAACCTGATGTTGGACGCTTGCTCTAGACATGTTAGGGATCAACTCCTTGTGCTTTGGCGATCATGGTAGTTCACCAGATGAGACAAAAGGCTTAGGGTTTTTCCGCCTCTCGCCAGCATCGCCCCGTCTCCAATGGCCCTAGAGCCATTTGAGAGCGGTGGATCCCGGCCATTTGAGAGCCAGTTGTTTATTGGAGTTTTCTTAGGGTTTGTGTCTTGCTCAGAAAGGTGAGTCGATGGTGGCTCCCTAAAGATGGAATAAAATTATCACCGCCTAGCCCTCGTCCCGGTGATGCATCTAGCATTGTCGATGGGTGTGTTAAAGTGTGTCTCCGGTGGATCTATCTTGGTGGATCTGGTCGTCGTTCGTCTACGTTCGTGTGTTTTCAGATTGGATCCTTCCGATCTACGCTACTCTTAATCTGCGGCGGTTGCAGTTCTGGTGCGCTGGTCCTATGAGACCTTAACACAAAGACTTTTCGATTGTCTACTACAACAAATTTTGCCTGTGTCCGGAGAGGGAGGCGCGATGACGGCGGCGCCTTAGACTCGCTTCAGTGTTTGTAGTCGTCGCTAGGTGGTCTACGGATCTGGATGTAATTTTTATTATTATTTATGTTCATTGTATTGTCATGATTGAAAATGAATAGATTATTAGTTTTTTCGGAAAAAGAAACATTGTAGAATAATTTCTCAGTTTACATGAAAACAAGGTCAGCGTTCCGTCAATTGCTTTGCCCACAAAGCTTGTAGTCTAAGTGCAACGGGAACAGGTTTTTTTTTTACTCGGGAACTGATTTTTGGTATCACCCGAGGCCACCAACTTGTGCTTGGTATGGAGCCCGGCTTGTTGGATAAGATGACATGGACTTCTTCTACACCAATATATACGCAATGGTCAATTTAGTCATCCTTGACCAGTGTTCTGGTGTGGAGTTCAGCATAAGGCATTTCAATGGTCAGATATGGCTGGACGTAATGAGCTAACTCCAAAAGGGAGACGTTCATTTTTCTTCCTCAAAACAGAAGCATCTGAAGAGGAATTCCACAGAGGAGAGCTGCCGGTCTCACTGGGCTGGCGCGCGCAGCCGCCCACGAATCCATCTTAGAGACATTTAGGAGCCGTTACAGTTTGCACCATCTATATAAGGCAGCACCATCAGATCCTCATCTATCAAGTACCACAAGCTCACCTGCCAATCCACAAACCACTCCAAAGCAAACAAGTACCGGCTAAGGAGCAAACAAGTACCGGCTAAGGAGCTCAAATGGCGTCCCAGCTGGTTGAGAGCCACCGTGCCGGCTCCGAGGTCCACAAGGGGAACGATATCTGCAAGAAGAAGACCGTCGAGCTTCTCGAAGTGCTTGGCCTCCCGAAAGGCCTCTTTCCTATGGATGACATCGAGGAGGTCGGGCACAACTGTGAGAGTGGGTTCGTGTGGATACTTCAAAAGAATAAGAAAAAGCACATGTTCAACAAGCTCAACCAGACCGTCTTCTACGACACTGAGGTGACCGCTTTTGTGGAAAAGGGCAAGATGAAGAAGGTCACCGGGGTCAAGGTCGAGGAGTTTTCTTTGGTCGAGGTCTATGTGGATGAGTCTTCTGCTGATAAGGTCACCATCAAGACCGACACCGGTCTGGCTGACACCCATGATGCGGTCGTGTTCGCTCTGGGAGAATAGGAAGCTACTAGTTAAGAAGGCCAGAGGAATAAAGTCAGTGAATAGTTTGGCACTACAGTTCACATGTTATGCAGAAGTATATGTTTCCGTTTTCTTTATAATCCAATAAAGAATGTTGCATGAATGTTGCTTCCTTTCATCCCATGTTATGCAGAAATTTATGTTTCCGTTTTTTTAATGTAATAGAGGATGTTGTATGAATGTTGCTTCCTTTCAGCCCTTAAGCGTTCGCCAAATGTAATGAATAACACTTATACCGCCTTCTATATCCCACGTCGACCACTCTCAACTTCCTACTGTTGTCCCTATCTCTGTGTGTGAGAGAATAAGGGCCTTATCAACCAATAATTAAGCAAGGCTTGGCGGATCCTAATCCTGGCAGTCAATCATGCAGTTATTACCAGTCCTTCAGATCGGCTCCTCGATCTCAGTGGGGACAGGTACAAACACCATGTTTTGGCTAGATCGGTGGTCGGGCGATAGACCGTTCGCAGAACGGTTCTATGCGCTATTTAGTATTTGCACTCGCCCACAACTCATGGTGAGTGCGGCCTTAGAGGACTTGGGGAGCATCACCCTTCGACGCACTTTTGGCCTGCTTGAACGGGACCAATGAGAGGAGTTGCTTGAATGCATAGGGAACATATCTGGTGCACCAAGGTAATTGGTGCTACCGATGCACCAAACCCCGTTGCACATTAAAAAATGTTCAAAAAAATCCGGAAAAAATTAGTTTATCAACACAACATCAATGTATGTTGTCACAAAAATTTGAATCAAAATTCAAAACAATGCTCAAGATACAAAAATGACAAATTTGACGTCAATGTGCTAATGGGCCAAAACTGAAGCCCAACTTGTGTTATGTACTATTCAATGTCAAATTTGTTTATTTTTGCATCTGAAGCAATGTTTCGAATATTGATTTAAATTTTTGTGACAACGTACATTGATGTTGTGTCAATACGCTAAATTGTTTTTGGATTTTTTGGAATATTTTTTAATGTGTAACGGGCGACCGGTGCACCGATAGCACAAATAGTCCAGATGCACCAGATACATCCCCTGAATGCATAGCCCTCCACGCCCCCTCCCTTGAGGAGGACGCGATCTCATGGACACTTGAACAAGGTGGGAGGTTCTTGGCCAAGTCCTTATATCACGCGCTATTAGCCTCGCCAGGTTCGAACGAGTTAACTCTCCTTTGAGAGATTAAACTGCCATTGAAGATCCGCATCTTCCTCTGGCGGTGGGTGCACGGCCGCCTCCCTTCGGGCACGAAGGTTCTCAAACACAATGGCCCGGGGAATGGGTTATGACCCTTATGCGAAGTACTTGAGGACTCCAACCACATATTCTTCCGCTGCCCGGCAGCGATCTTTCTTTGAAGTTGCCTCCGGGATGTTGTCGGTGGCAATTGGTGTGTAACGCCCCGAGACCGATGTGCCAGGTATCGTCCAGTTATTCGATGTCGTTGCCATGTCATTTGCTTGCGTGTTGCATTTCATCATGTCATTATGTGCATTGCATCATCATGTTTTCAAAACCTGCATCCGTTCGGGTTCCCCCAGTTCTTTCTGTTGTCTGTTCTGAGCCCAGCCACACTTGCACGCGCCCGCGGCACGCCCGAAATATTATTTTATAAGTGGCCGGAAAATGTTCTCGGAATGGGATGAAAGTTGGCATGCGGCGTTTTTATGTTGTAGGTAGGCTGCCTGCCAAGTTTCATCGCGCTCGGAGTCCGTTTGACGCCCCAACGGATAACTATAGCGGCAGTATAGCCGGTCTAACGTCGGACGTTTTCGGTCTTCGAAAACCGTGCCGGGCTGCATCTCTCCCCTCTTCTCTCAGACCAACCCTCTCTTCACAATCCGCCAGACCCAACCTAACCTCTCTCGTCAGCCCGCGACCCTCCTCGCGCGCGTCCGAAAAATTGTCCCGGACCCGACCCGAGCAGTCGTCACCGTTGGATCCAGATCATCCCCAAACATCTACAATATCTCCATTTTCTTAATTGGGCCCTCTAACCTATTTATCCGAGAACGTCCGATTTTAATCGAGGGCCCAGATGCACCCCAAATCCACTTGCTATATATACTTGAGGTCCAACCCTAAAATTTAGGAGCCTTGTCCCATCCTCCCAGCCGCCGCCACCAGTCCTCTTCCACCTCAGGATCTCATCCCGATCCAACCAACTGCCTCCACCCTCTTCCCTAAATTCCCCATCGCTCCAAATCACCAACTCCCTCTGTCTTCCTTGGACGCGTCCAGTCCACCCAACCAGCACCCGCGCCCGAGCAGCTGCCTCTCCTTGGCTGCGTGTCTCCGATGGCAGCATCTCCGGCCACAACATCTCCGGCCGCAGCTAGGACCATCGGAGCGCCAGGCCAACACTTCCTCGCCCTTTCCCTTTTCCTTCTTCCCTCTGTTTTTCCATCCCCATCATCTCATCTCTCTCTTCCTCTGCGTCTTCTCGCAGGAACCGAAAGGAGCCAGCCTCGGCCTCGTCACAACGCCGCTCCGGCCCGCAACCGCAACGATCCATCCATCTAGCTCCAGCGAGGCCCCACCCGCCGTGCCTCAATCTCCTCCAAGACTGGCAAGTTCCGCCGACTGACGTGGCCGTGGAGCACGTCGGCATCGTCCTTGTGCCGTCCCAGCCCAGTCGTCGTTTGCCTCCTCGCCGCCCGGATCCGGCCGTCTCCACGTCGTCTGCGCCCCTGCCTCGTTGGAGAACGACGTCCCGCACCTGGACCTCACGCGCCTCCCCCACCTCAGATTCGTCCAGCCGCCTCTGCCTCAAGCTTGCCATCCCGACCTCCTTGTCGCCCGCGCGCCTGCAACAACCAGGAGACCCTGACGCCTCCTCCGCCTTGCCCTGCACCATCTTGTGCTTGAACAGAGCTTGAGTCCGAACCTTCCCGTCGGCAGCATCACCTGTGGCCAGCCGCTGGAGTTCCAGGTCGCCGCTGCTTCCCTTGAGCTCCATCCATGCCACGCTTCATCCTTCTGTCGGGAGCAGATAGAGGAAGCCGCCCCTGCCGCGTTGACCATAAGTCCCACGTCGTCCCACCTCCTGCCATCCTCTCCGACACCACGCCGAAGCCGCGTCATCTCACCGCTCGCCGGAGTCCCACGCACCCCTGCCGCATCGCTGCCTTCTGACGAGCACGAGCTCATTTCCCTGCCTCCCTGCATCGAAGGAACCAGGCGCGTTGACTGCGCCCGGACCGGCCTCGCCTAGACCCACCGCCACCTCTTTCTGCCAGTTGCAGCCCACAGAGCCGGCCCAGTTGAAGTTAGACCTTGGTGAGCCACCGCAGACCCAGCGCCCTGTTTCAGTTTCGGCCCGCTCCTGTTTTTTTTTCTTTCAGCGATTTTGTCAATATTCCAGAGTTGGCAGTTTTACAGAAACCTCCTTCTACTACATGCATATAATAACTCACAATTGGTGCATCGGATTAAAATGAATTATATATGAAAGTTGCTTAGGATTTTGTATAGTTTAATAATATGCCATTTTCATCCATGTTTAAAATGTTTAAAATGCTGTTTGAGTAAATTTGCTTAAATGCCATGTTAATATGATTTAATTCATAACTAAATAACTTTAGCTCGGTTTTTAATAAACTTTATATGTAAATGGGGTAGAATTTTGCCTAGTTTAACATGGTGGCTTTACTTTGCATGTTTAACAAATCTAAAATATGGTTGGAGGCAGAACAGTACCAAATCCTTAAATTGCACATGAGGTTTGTCTCCGGACTTGTTGTATGTTGTTCCGGCCTCATTTAAACTTGACTAGATATGTAGTTTTCATTTGCTTCACCCTCTTGCCATGCTAACAACATTTAATCTTGTTGGGTACATAAACGAGAGAGAACTAAATAAGTCATGTGGTGTTTTCTTCAATATGCAACTCCGTTGCATAATGAGCTCCACTTAATTTGTAGGTTTGTTTGTGCACTTTGCCATGCCATGCTTCATTAAACCGTACATGCATCATAGTCGATTGTGCATCACGCCATGTTGATGTGTTGGTTGTTTACTATGTTGTATGCTTCTTTTCCGGTGTTTGCTTCTTCGGGTTGGATCCGGTAACGTCGTGTTGTGAGGATTCGTTCGTCTACGTCCGTTTGTCTTCTTCATGGACTCGTTCTTCTTCCTTACGGGATCTCGGGCAAGATGACCATACCCTCGAAATCACTTCTATCTTTGCTTGCTAGTTGCTCGCTCTTTTGCTATGCCTATGCTGCGATACCTACCACTTGCTTATCATGCCTCCTATATTGTTTGAACCCAGCCTCTAACCCACCTTGTCCTAGAAAACCTTTGTTTGGCTATGTTACCGCTTTGCTCAGCCCCTCTTATAGCATTGTTAGCTGCAGGTGAAGATTGAAGTTTGTCCCTTGTTGGAACATGGAGATGATGTTCCTGGTTGGAACATGTTTACTTGTTGGGATATCACAATATATCTTATTTAATTAATGCATCTATATACTTGGTAAAGGGTGGAAGGCTCGGCCTTATGCCTGGTGTTTTGTTCCACTCTTGCCGCCCTAGTTTCCGTCATATCGGTGTTATGTTCCCGGATTTTGCGTTCCTTACGCGGTTGAGTAATAATGGGAACCCCTTGACAGCTCGCCTTGAATAAAACTCCTCCAGCAATGCCCAACATAGGTTTTACCATTCGCCACCTAGCCTTTTCCTTTCCCTTGGGTTCTGCAGACTCAAGGGTCATCTTTATTTTAACCCCCCCGGGCCAGTGCTCCTCTGAGTGTTGGTCCAAACTAGAGTCCTGTGCAGCGCCCCCTCGGGGAAACTCG